TGAACAACATGACTTAAATAAGCATGACATGAACATAAAAGCATAAATATGCTGAAAACATGAATATTCACATGAAGGCTTGAGCTAGGGCCGCGGCGGGCGCGCCATGCAACGGCGTTGTGCCGTTCTTCGACCGAATCACATAATCTCTCGGCAGTACCAATTTAAATGAACTTAAACATGACTTGCTGAACATGATAACTCATAATGGTCGAAGGTTTAAACATAACATGCAATGACATGCGAGAGCGGTCCGTGGTACGCACTATGTGTGCGACCACACCTCTTCGACCAAACTCCCACTAACATGACTACATTCGTCCGAACACTTAAGTTAAACTAAACATGATTTTACACATAAAAGCTAAATATGCGAGAATACTCGGAGAATACTAAATTAACATATTGAGCATGCAAGCACGGCCCGTGGTGCTCTACGTGCGCAACCACGTTACCCTCGGCCAAACACTTCAAACGTGAAATATCATCCGAACATTCAAGTTAATTTAAACATGATATTGCACCTAAAAGCTAAGTCATGCAAGAATGTTCGGATAATATAACTTGAAACATGACATAAATGGTACGGCTATGGCTTGCGCCACACATAACACGCATGCACGGCTCACCAACATAATTAACTTAAGGAACATGCTACTCTCGGTCAATATTCGACGGGAACTTACCTCTTGTTAAGCCTTCGGACTAAACTCTTCGAACACCCGAGCTCTCGGTCGTGGCCCTTCGCGCGTGCGCCTTGCGGTGTTGCGTGCGGTAGCGTGCGACTCTCGGCTATGCTCACGCACAACACTCACAAAAATTCTCACTAACTCTCCCTAAGCTTTCGGCACTTGACAATAGAAGAAGGGAAATGGGACAATTTCTCCAATGCCTCTCATTTAACAAAGGACCGAAAATCATTAGGAGGGGAGGGGACATTACGGTCAAAGGCTAGACAAGTGGCCACCATGCAATCTCTTCTCCCTCATACTCACGTGAAGATGCCTCAAAATGAAGACAAAATGCTTGAGCAATTTCCCACACACACATGCACGGCAAAAACAAGGAGGAGTAAGGACAAAATGGAGCAAACTTCCCATGGCATGAAAAGACAAAGATGGTGCACGGTCTTCTAGCATGATGTTGGGAGAATCTCTTGACTACACATGCACACATAACTCACGGCAATTGCACATGAGCGGACCAAAGGTAACACACCACACGGCATTTAACATACAATGCACGGCAGAAGCATGAAATGGGATCAAAAATTACTAACATTCCACCATAACCTAATTATACCATGCACACGGCCATTGAACATATAAGTGCACGGCTAAAGCTACTAATCTCATGATTAATTTTCAATTAATCACAATGACTTGCTTAATTAATCAATTAAGCATAATACTTAATTACCAAAATTATTTCGAATGTAAACGGTACGTCGGAAATATTTTTCGGTAATCTTATCTGAAATAACTGAAAATAATTAATTCCAAAAAAAATAATATCGGAACTAAAATATTATTATTACTGATAAAAAGTCGGGATATTACATCTTCTCCGATTGAAGAACAATTTTTAGGTTCCTTAGCCAATTGTTAAAATTGGGTCCGGTTAATTTGTTTTGTTCAAGGATACTTGCGATTGGATTTTTAGCCATTTAGTAGATTGATCTACAAAACAACACACGAAGCAGAAAATAATTAGACTATGAAATTCATATTCATTTAATATTAGGTCTTTAAATATTAAATGTCTCCCACTAATTTAATTAAAACCCCATTTTAATTATGAAAATCTAATTTTCATAGTGGACTTGAAGTCCAATAAAAATATTCCATATCCCAAGAATATGAGTACACATGGAACATTTATACTGGTACAACTTTTTGACAATTGTATCAATATACAACCTTCAAGTTATTTTGCCTCACCTTTCTTTATATACCTCAAGAATATGACCGTATATATTACTCGGTGTCAAATCCAACCCATCAAAACTTTCATGATAACGACCCACCAGAGTGTCCCACGACTCATGGTCAACACAAAGAGGAATCCGCCGCACGAGTATCATTATACGTAGTAGGGATCACAGCTTTCGACACAAAACCACCCCACGACTCATGGTCAGTGATAGAGCATCGTAGCATCTCATGTCGTCTACTTTTTGATGGAAGGCCTGGATTAATAAGTCCCAGCTTATTCTTATCCATTATTGATATAATATGAATTAATCTTATTAATTCTTTAGGGTTCCGTGATCTCATCGTTTACCATCTTTACGTTTATTTACCATTTCATCCATTGCATGAATCGAAAGCATAAATAAACCTAACATACATCTAATGCATGCATACGGTGGGATGATCATGTCCTTGCCTATACGACCCATTCGAGCCAAAATGGGTCTATGCCTATGTACGTGATAAAATAAATAGAACTACTTCTATTACAGTTTATTTTATCTACCCTTACAAGCACAGGCCTTCGAGATTTACAACTTGTAAAATTACCCACACAGACATGGGCCTTTTGCATCGAACGGTCTCCACCTTGATCTTATCTTTTAAACGATACAAAAACTTAAAATTTTACAAATTATAATTCAAGAGACTCGCAGGTCTAGATAAATTACATCCGTTCAATCACATTGAATAAAATGCAATCATTCATCCATATTGAATAAAACATTCAAACATTCAATCATATTGAAAAATGCAACATTCAATCATGTTGAATAAAAGGCTCATGATCATCCCTAAGTTAAACCATTCATCACATGAATTAAAACATAAAAGGTTCATTCCACCTGACACAGCCCGTGTAAGAGGTCGTGTCACCTGACACGGCCCGTGTCAGAGGTCGTGTCATATGCCGAGAGCAACTATGAACAAAACCTTTATCCACTCCACCTGACACGGCCCGTATCAAAGGTCGTGTCA